TTTTTCGGTATAAAAATGTCTGTTTTGATTAAGGAAGTAAGACATGTCCGTTGTAGGAATTTTGGGAAAAAAGGCTGATTTTTGTACCTAAAAAATAAATTGGTTTCTAAGGAAGAAGTAATGTGAACCATGGAGTAAAGAATTCCAGGCAGATGTGAGAAGGCCCTTCCTTGTGGCCAGGCTGTTCAGGCTCTGGAAGGATTGACAAGTGACTGGGGTTGCCCTTCCTCTGTGGATGAAGTCCAGGGTTCCTGGGCAGGGGGCCAGGGGGACTCCTTCCAGGTTCAGTGGATAAAGTAGGGGAAGGTGAGAAACCATCCTCCCTGCAGACTGTTTGCAGCATTTGACTCCTGTCAAAGATGGAAGAAGAGGAGTGGGTATGTTTTTCATCAAGATTGCTCATTTCTCCCCTATCTCCTTGCTCTGTATGCAGTGGTCTGATGCCCCCAAAACGTAGCCGTGGAAAGCCAGCTCTGTCTCGAGTGCCCTTCCTGGAAGGTGTGAATGGAGACTCTGACTACAACAGTTCAGGTGGGTATCAGGGTTCAGATGGAGCTGGGGGATAGGGGCAGAACTTTGGAGGAGCCAGCTCTGCAGGCTGCTGTCCTGTTGGGGCGCAGAACGAGGCAGCCAGTCCCTGAGCTCCTTTGAACGCTCTGGCACTTGGCAGGAAGGTGGCCCTTCCTCGCAGGTCATTCATATATATATTTTTTTAATTCATCTTAAATTTCACTAGGTCATACATGCCCATGGTAACAGAAACCAAAAAGGTACAAAAGGATATAGAATGAAAAGCAGCACTCCCCTCCCTGTTAGCAGTTTCACTAACAACAACCACTCTTTGCAGTTTCTTTTGTTATTTTCCAGAGGTAATCCATATATACACAAGCCAAAATGTGTGTGTATTTCTAAGTGAGAGAGTAGAGAAGCCTAATACGTGCATGCGGCTCTAAACCAAGCCTTTTATTCAGGTAGTTAATAATGTATCTTGGAGGTCCTTCTGACTCAGGCTTTAATCGGCTGCCTAGTGTTCCATTGTATATGTGCCATAATTTACTTAACCAGGCTGCTAAGATGGACGTTTAGATTGTTATCACTTATTAGCTATCACAATCAATACTACAGTGAGCATCCTTCCACACAGATCATGTTTTATACAGGAGGAGTATATCTATAGAAGTGGAATTGCTGTATTGACAGACGTGTGCATTTGTAATTTTGATAGATATTGCCAATCTGCCCTCATGATGGCCTGTTTCACTGAATCTCACACATAACCCTGTAATTTCATGTTATCCAGTGCTTTCAGCTCTCTCCTCATAAGACATTCTATACCAGCTGGTCCAAACAGTAAAATACATGGGTCTCATTTCCTTGGACCAAGGGGATAGAGGGCAGGGAAGGGCCAAGAAGAAAGGCTTGGGTGGTGCTCAGGTGGAGCAGGTGCAGAACGGGCTGGTCTTCTGTGAGCTCACTCTGTCCAGCTCTCTTGGAGGCAAATGCATTCTGTGGATGCCCTGTTTTTGAAGCTTCTGCCTAACACACAGGTTTCAGAGCTTCTCTTCCCCTCTTTCCTTTTCCCAACGGCTTTATTTTCTCTTAGCATCAATTTCTTTCTCGTGTGTGTGTGTGTTGATGAATGCATGCATGCCTTGTGTTTCATTACTGTCTGTGACTGTCAGCTCCCAGAAGGTACGGCTCATGTCTCGATGAATTTGTACAGCATCTAGCACAAGACCAGGAGCAGATTGGCACATACTTGTGCTTCTGGTGGTGACGTTTTATTCTTATTTTACAAACTTACATATTTATGATTAAAATGGTGCCAAAGGAAATTTCAAAAGGAGATTGACCTCTCACAGTCCATCACCCTAACACAGTTGTCTTTGTTTCGCTGTGTTGCCTTCTGGTTATTTTAGGGACATTTTTAACAAAATGCTAATCCAAAACACATGCATTTTCTTTTTTTTTTTTTTAAATTGTACTTTAGGTGAAGGTTTACAGAACAAATAGTTTCTCATTAAACAGTCAGTACACATATTGACACATATTGTTTTATGACATTAGTTAACAACCCCACGACATGTCAACCCTCTCCCTTCTCGACCTTTTTTTTTTGGTGAAAATATACGTAGCCAAAGATACACCATTTCAAAAATTTCTACATGCACAATTCAGTGACATCAGTTACGTTCTTCCAGTTGTCCTGCTATTCTCACTTTACATGAAGGTTTACAGAACAAAATAGTTTCTCATTAAACAGCAAAACACATGCACTTTTGCCTTTTTCAGTGTTAAACACCTTTTTCACATTGACACAGTCTTTATATTTCTTGTTTTATTACAACAGTATATTTTCTAATCAATGCATTATAAATTACTTAAGCATTCTTCTGTGGTTAGACATTTGAGTTATTTCCAATTTTTAACATAATGTAGTGACCTATATTTTTGTTCAAAATCCTTTCGTTCGTTTCTAAAGTTATTTTTCTTAGAATAAATTCCCAGGGAAGGCATTTACTAGAGCAGATGGTTCATACTTTTTTTTTATGGCTCTTGGTACATACCGCCAAATTACATTCCGAAAGGATTGGACTGGTCTGCAATTTCATCAGCAGTGTATGACTGCACCAGCTTCCCCACATGTACCTCTTCAATATTAGATTTTATCTGTTTGTTGTTATTGCTGTTGACTCAGTAGGTACAAAAGAATGCCTCATTATTGCTTCAGTACATTTTTTAAAAGTTAAAATGAGGGTAGTAATGTTTCCTTAGAAACAGTTTCCACTCTCTGGAGTTTGGGCCTTTTTCCTTGGCTGAGTGTGGTCACTTTCTTGGGCAGGGACAGAGAGGTTCCTCTCTGTTCAGAAGCATTGGGGAAGCACCCTTCACGCATGCTAGTGCAGTAGGTACAGAACAAAGCCAGCTGAAGAGATGTGGTGCCTGCCACAGGCTGGACACCAAACCTGAGGTTCTGACAAAAGCAGGCACGTGAAGGACCTGCAGACCTAAACCTGCTGGGCTCTGCTGAGCACTGTGCAGCCAGGTAACCTGGATGACCAGGTGTGGCCCTTTCAGAAGAGAACTCATTTAGCCAGTGCTTTTGCTGGGATGTCCTTCCCAGGCATCTTTGTTCAGGAAGCCTCCATAGTGAGGACTCCCCACTTAGAGAGGCCCAGAGAGCAATAAGTGGTTTTGCCCAAGCTGGGTCTTGATCCTTCCCCCTGGGGCCTTGGTGATGAAGCAGTTATGTTTTTCCAGAGAACACCATCCTAGGGTTCTAGTCCAGAGGTCCACAGACTATAGCCCACTACCTGTTTCTGTACAGCCCATAGCTAAGAATGGTTTTTACGCTTAGATGTGATTGGGAAAAAAAATTCAAAAGAAGAATAATATTTCATAATGTGAAAATTACATGAAATTCAAATTTCAGTGTCTCTAAATAAAGCTTTATTGGGACACAGCCATGCTAATTCATTTATGGATTGCCTGTGGCTGCTTTTCTGCTACAGTAGTAGAGTTGAGAGATGCTGTGGCCCACAGAACCTGTAATATTTCACATCTGGCCCTTTACAGGAAAAGTTTCCAACCCCTGATCTAGTCTAAGGACCTCTCCTAAGGAAAGGGCAGGGGAGAGGAAGGGTGGAGGGGATGTTGCTGACTCATTCCTGGGCTGCCCCAGTATAATGGAGGCCATAGCCAGGCCTCTGGGCACCATTCCAAGTCCCCTTTGGGCACTGTCTCCTCCCCTCCCCCACCCCCAGGCAGAAGCCTCCTGATGCCCTTTGAAGACCGCGGAGACCTGGAGCCCCTGGAGCTGGTGTGGGCCAAGTGCCGAGGCTACCCCTCCTACCCTGCCTTGGTGAGTCTGCCCCAGACACCACCCTCCTATCTCCCGTGGGCGGTTCTGGCCCCGGCCTTGCCTCCAGGGCTTATCTGATTGGATCAAGCCAGCAGAGTGTGGTGGGGGTCAGGGTGTCTTCAGCTACAGAAGGGAGGGAGGTTTTACCCCAGCCTGGGTGGGTCAAACCAGCAAGGCTCCCAGCTTGGGGCACTTGAAATAGGGCTAAAATTATGTGGACAGAGACTAGGGTTCTTAGGGTTTAAATAACATTTATCTATTTGCTTATGCATAAAAGTAATATGTGCTCATTGTAGAGAATTTAAGAAGGTACTAATAATGCTTAGCTCTTTTATTAAACATCTGTCATGCTAAGTCCTTCAAATACTGAGGAAGGTACAGTTATTCCCATTTTATAGGGAAGAAAACTAAGGATTCGTTACCTGTGGTCATCCAGCTAAAGGTGGCAGTTAGAATTTGAGCCCAGGGCTTAAAATGTATGATGTCAAAGCCTGAGTTCTGAGCCACTAAATTCAAAATCATCCACAGTCCCATTTATTCAGAAAGAACTTCTTATGTACATCCATTCAGCCTTTTCTTAGTGCATAAGTATGCATATATGAGAGACCATACTGTTTTTAACCTCTGTTTCACTTAACAGCATACCATGAGCATGAGCGTTTTATGCCATTAAACATTCTTCGTCAACATCACTCTTAATGACTGCATTGTCCTCGGTTGTATGCATGTACCATAATTAAATCATTCCCTAGTTGGTTGTTTAGATTGTTTTGAATTTTTCACTGTGACAAACAGCCAGCAATAAACATTGTAGCGCTACCTTTGTGCACATCCATGATTATTTCTTTACAGTGAGTTTCTAGGGGTACCTTCTTGGGGAAGGTCCACACAGTATACTACGGCTTTGATGCAAATTGCTAGGTTGCCCTTCAGAAAATTAGTTCTAGTTTACACTGCCACCAAACCCATTGCCGTCGAGTTGATTCCGACTCATAGTGACCCTATAGGACAGAGCAGAACTGCCCCATAGGGTTTCCAAGGAGCACCTGGTGGATTCGAACTGCTGACCTTTTGGTTAGCAGCCATAGCCCTTAACCACTATGCCACCAGGGTTAGCTGAAAGGCCATTTCTTCCACATCTTTACCACCTTGATTGTTATTTCTTAGGGCTCTTTCTGAACTGGGGAGGTAATGCCCACCTGGCTCTGGATTCTAAACCTTTGGAGAATATCAGAATGACCTGGGGAAATTTTAATAATGCAGATGCCGAGGTCCCACCCCAGAACTATCAAATTAGACTGTCTGGGGCCAGATGGAGGCAGGAGTGTAAAAAGCTTCCCACGTGATCTGTAGCCAGAGTTGAGAGCCACTCCAATACCTCTGGCACGCACACAGTGCTCTAGGCTTCTAGCTTCTTCACATCTCTGATGCTTTTGATCCTAGTGGCAACCTTTTAAGATAAAGAGGGCAGGGACTCTGATCCTCTTTGGACAGTTGAGGAAACTATAGCCTAGAAGGTTATGCAACTTGCTGGAGACAGTATTGGAGCCCAAGTGGCTGCCTGACGCCCTCCCACACAGCAATCTCTGCAGCTGAAAAGGTTGAGCCTGGGGCTGCCCCAGGTGAGACCCCAGGCAGCTTAGCTCACTGAAGAAATGATTAAGGCTGTGCAAGTTTGGGTTTTTTTTTAAAACCTCACAATTCGAGTGAGTCGTTTTTGTTTCTGTTTTAAATTATCTTCTTAATCATACGTTGTTTTTTCAGTATTAAAGAAATTCAGCCACCACCTGAAAACCCCACCACCTGAACACAACCTGTGTTTTTATTTTAGTATATGCTCTCCCAGTCTTTCCTATGCATACTTAAATATGTGCTTATATCCATAGTGAATATACAGTTTGTAATCTTTTTTTTTTTTTTTTTAACTCTTGTCTTTTTAAAAAATGTTTTCATTTTGGCTTTGCTTTTATTTTTTTTAACTGTAAATGTATCCAAATGATAGAATTTTTGGAAAAATAGAGAAAAAATTAGTAATGCAACCCCCACCATCCTAACGTGTCTACTGTAAACATTCTGTGTCATCTCTTCTATTTTTTCGTTAGTAATAATAGTGTATGTACACGTTCATTATGTATTGAATTGTATCACAAGCTTTATTTTCATGTTATTTCATATCTGCGTAACATTCCATTGAATGAATGGACCATTACTATCTTGGGACAGAATTGCTGCTATCTTAAAAAGGGAGAACTCTCCTCAAATGACAGACTTACACACCTTGCTTTTGCCCTCGGGAGATTTTTTGAGTACCCTGAGCTCCAAGGTAGGACCAGGATGGCCTCATGAAGAGGAAACATCAGTATAGCTCCAATAACTGAGGAATCCCAGGAGGGTACATATGGTGGTTCTTGCTGGCATCCTTAGTTCCATTCCCAGGAAGGACAGACTGACTGACAGGCTAGAGTTTTGATCAAATTACACAGCTGGGGGTCAGGGTAGGGTGGTTCTTCCTTAGAGTCTTAACCAGAGCACCTGCTTTCAGCTGCTTATCTTGAAAGGAGTATAGGGAAGCTGGCAGACACCCAAAGGTAAATAATGAGAGCAGCTTATTGTGAGAAGAGGCCCCCTGGGGAAGGGCACAGGAATTAAAGATTGCTCTGTCTCTGGAGGAAGCTGCTTCCTCAGCAAGTTTCCAGGTCTCTAGGGCCTTAGCGCACAGAGATCATCAGCCAGCTGCTCTAGAAGCAGGCTGTGTAGGAGGCAGCAGAGGCCCGAGCCTTATCCAGGCAGCTGGTTTTAGTCCCAGCCCTAGCTTCAACGTGCTACATCCTCTTTCCGTGCCTGGCGTCTTCCTCTGTCAGCTAATCCCTACACTGCAAACTTACAGCATCAGCAAGAGGGTGACATAAGATGATCATGTGTGAATAATCAGGGGCTTTGGTAACTTTCAAAGAGCTCCATAGAGCTGGAGAATTATTGCTGTGTTGGGGCTGCTAGGTATTTTGCTGAGCACCTGCCCTTGTGAGCTTGCAGCCTCGAGGATTAATCGTCCAGTGGCTCTTGTTTTCCAACCACACCATTCCCCCTCTCCAGCGACCCTCTGCCCTCAGTCTTCTGTGTGCACACTGAGCCTTCTCTCTGATCTTGGTGGCAAGTGGAGCCCCTTGATTTACCATGGAGATGTCACAGGCATATCTGGTCCATAGACCAGGAAGAATTGTAGTCAGACCGGAAGGTAAAACTGAAGGAACAGGCCCTCCTGCTGATGAACTGTCTTCATAGCCATGGTGCCTGGCGGGCCACTGAGCGCTGGGAATGAATTATAAAGGGTCCAAAGAGAAATTGACAGGTAAAAAAATGACCTCCACTCTTCTCCCCTAAAGGAAGGAAGGAGTTTGCCTATCTGGCCTGGACATCAGTACCCCACTCAGTTCTAACACACTTCACATGCTGGCTTCCCACTACGTCTGTTTCAGCTCTGGGGCCTGACCATTTGTGGAGCAAGCTCCCTCTCTGATTGGGCAGGGCCAGAGGATTAGGACAAAGAACTAGGGATACAGAATCAAGACTTCTGCCTTGGGATGCTGGAGGTCAGCCCCTCCATTACGTGGTTGTCGGCAGGGCCAATGCCCTCCATAGCTTTGGTGTAGGGTGGCTCAGCGGTTAGTCCTGGGATAGGACGCCCTGTCCACCCCACTCGCCCCAGCTGAGTTCCCCTCTCCTTTCCTGCCTCCAGATCATCGATCCCAAGATGCCCCGGGAGGGCCTCCTGCACAATGGTGTCCCCATCCCAGTCCCCCCGCTGGATGTGCTGAAGCTGGGAGAGCAGAGACAGGCAGAGGCTGGAGAGAAGCTCTTCCTTGTCCTCTTCTTTGACAACAAGCGCACCTGGTGAGTGGGTGCTGCCACCAGGGGAGCACCTGCACCAGGTGTGGGCTGCGGGGCCCAGACTGGGAGGTGTTCAAATGCTCAGGTGCCCTAAAGGTACACACAGGTGCTGTGGACTCGGTCACCCTGGGCCTCCACCATGTGAAGGGCGAGGCGCTGTCTGCAAGCAGCCGGCCTGCACTTGCCGTGTTGTGGTGACTGAGGGGTGTCACAGATCAGATTCCTTGGAAGCACTCTACAATCGGGTAGACCTCTTGAACAAAACCTGTGGGTGGTGAGGGACACAGCACTGGGCAGAGGAAGGGGATGAACTGTGATGCACTTGAAGCAAAGGCCTCAGCTGATCTCACAGGGAGCTCTGGATCTGGGTGGCCCCTCAGAGGTGTCGGCAGTTGGGGCTGTGCCTTTGTTCCCCCGCATTAAGTAGTCACTGAATGCCAGCCTGCCCCAGGGAGGGACCAGACAGCTCCCTTGGTGGAGGGAGTTTCCAGAGGGACTTAGCTGATAGCCTGCCAGCTGCCAGCATTCCTGGTAGCTTCAGGAGTGAGTGTCCCAGTCCCAAGGGGTTTCTGGGTGACTCAGTGAAGTGCCCACTACAAGGACATCACTTGCTCATGGTTTACCAACACCTTAAAGTTCTCCTTAGCACCAGTGTGCTAAGCATCAAAGTACTTTCACCCCTGTTCTGTGGAATGCGGAGGTAGAACTAGCTAGTGAAAATGATGATAATAATAGCAGCTATTTTCGAGTGCTTACTCTGTGTCCTCATGCAGATTGCTTTGTATATATGATCTCATTTAATCCTCATTTAAAGCCACATTAATTCCCTCAGAATCCATTTTGCAGATGAGGAAAATGCACAGAAAGCCAAGACCTCACAGCCAGAACTGCGGTCCAAACCAGCATCTGGCTCCAAAGGCTGTACACTTAGCCGTGCCTTAGATTGACCTAGGAAGCTTTAAACACACACAAACACTGAGGTGCGGGCCCGACCAGAGATCAGTTCATCAATTCCTGGCACCAGCCCTGCTTTCTAGTTGTAGCTCCTGCTTCCCCCCGGGCAGGGCGACACCCAGAGCCCTCCAGGATGGCTCAGCCAGTCCCAGAGAGTGGCAGACTGGCCTCTTGCTGCTCCTAGGTCCCGGCAACCCTCCAAGCCGAGTGAGTGCTGGGCCCCAGGGAAGGACATGGTGCAGAGTAGGTCCCATGCTGCGCTTGCCACCTGCACATGCTGCTTGGTCCCCTGACTCACCAGGCTCTTGGTGGCCTCCTGCCTAGGGTGTCCCAGTCAGCTTCCCTCTGCCCTGTCTCCTCCCCCTGGCCTTGCTGGTCCTGGGCAGGTGGGTCCTGAGAGCCCCCTTGTGGGATCTGCCATGGCCCAGGCCTCTTACTGTGGTTCCATTTCAGGCAGTGGCTTCCCAGGGACAAAGTCCTGCCCCTGGGGGTGGAAGACACCGTGGACAAGCTCAAGATGCTGGAAGGCCGCAAGACCAGCATCCGCAAGTCTGTGCAAGTAGCCTACGACCGCGCAATGATCCACCTGAGCCGTGTCCGGGGGCCCCACTCCTTCGTCACCTCCAGCTACCTGTGAGGGCAGGGCCTGGCCTGCATCTGCCTGCCCTGCCTCTGTCCTGTGGGGCACAGAGAAGCCTCTTCCTCTCCCAGCCAGATGTGTGGCTGGCAGCTTCTCCCTTTCGTGGCAGGACAGGGACTGGGGCTGTGTCTCCCCAAGGGCCAGGCCCCCGCTTTGACCAGCTGCATGGCTCTCCTGGCAGGCCTGCTGTGTGCCAAAAACTCCCACCCAAGGTCCTTCAGGGGATAGTCCACTGAAGAACCAGGTAGAAGTAGAAATAGCTGTGGGTCTTGGGCGCAGCTGAGGAGATGGACCTGGCCCAGAGGGCAGAGGGTCCTGGGCTTCTCCCCAAGGGGCTGCCTGGCCCCCTCCACCCTACTCCCAACTAACTCCACCTCAGGGCGGGCGAGGCTCTGACATTGATCCCAGAGGTGCTGTGGATACGCTAGGGTCCCGCGGGGAACCTCACCGAGCTCACCCTTTCTCTCCCCGATCATCACCCATTCTTACTCCTCTTCCCTGTCTCAGTCTCTCTCTCCCTCTGTCCCATGTTCCTCCCCATGTTCCTTTCCTTACTTTCTCTTGTGCCAAACTGACAGAAACTATCCCAAAGTGGTCTTTTTCTTTAATGTCTCATTCCCCCTGTGGCCAGCTGCCATGCTAGGTGGATGCTTTCACCTGGCTCCTCAGGACCCAGGACAGAGGCCAGCACACCACCTGGGGTGCCCCCTCCCCCGCCCCGGCAGGCCCTCATCATACCCACCCATGACCTTCACATGTGCTGCAGCCCCACAGCTATGAGGCTGGGCTGTGAGCACTTGCCCCTCGGACTGCAGGCGAGGCCCCTCCTCCTGCTCCTGGCCTTGCTGAGGGGTGGGCTGAGGCTTGGTGGGCAGGCCCCTGTCTGCAGGCCAGGTCGCTCGTGGGAGTGTCCATCTGTCCACTGGATGGTGAGGGCTGTTTGGGGTGGAACCACTCTGTGCCCTTCAGCTGGGCCTGCCCCTGCCCCTCCCATCCTCTCCTCGTGGTCTTTTGTTTTTTTGCACCTGCATCCTTAACGCCTCGCTCCACCACCGTGGCTGGCATGGTGCCTCAGTCAGCATCATCCTTTCCTGCACTCTGCCCTGCCCAGCCTCTGCTGCTCCCACCTCCAAACTCCGGGGAGTGCCACGCTTTTATTTCAAACCATCCGTCCCCTTCCCTCTCCCTTCACCCCTCTCCCTACCGTCACCGTCTCAAAAATGGAAGGAAAAAAAAAAAGAACAACTGTGAATGGGGAATGCTGACTAACAAACCAACACAACTTTCAGAGGCTTCGATGTCTGTTCTCTGGATGTTTCTTTTCACCTCTTAAGCACCAAAGTCGCAGGGCCAGGTTGCAGGCCACTGATCGCCATGTTGATTTTTAACCTGACCTTTTTTTTTAATTGTTTTAAATGTTTTCATAGGGGAGTTTTGGATAAAATGAAGTCACTGGGGAGATCACTGCCATTTTTACGCACTCGACTTTTTAAAAAAATACAACCAACCAACCACCACAACTTCTTATACCTTTGGGACACGAGCCAGAGTTTAAAAAGGAATCCAACAAAATTATCTGTAACATAAAGGATGGGGTTTTGGATTTTGTACAATAATAAAAATACAATACAGCATATGGCTAGGGAAGGACATGGTGTATATAATTGTAAAATACTGTTCTAAATTATTCAGGCCTATAGTTTCCATTATTGGAGTCCTCCATTGTGTGGCCGAGTACTTTGAATGCACACAGTGTCGTTTATTTAAAGGAGCCGATGTTTCCCCCTCCCCAGGTAGTTGGTCAGCTGTGGACTTCGTGACCTGTGTCTAAACCTGTGTTTTAAAGATCTTGGGGCTTTCATCCTCTCTCTCTATTTCTATGTCTGCCTAGCCCTTTCTTCCCTGACACTTTCTCCCTCTCTATTTTTTCAGTCTCTGAATCTTTCAGTCTCTCTGGGTCTCATTTTTAAAAATGCTCTTTTAGAACGGGAAATGGCTCAGATCCTGCTGTGGCATGGGGCCTGTGTGTCTCTGTCGCGTCTGCTGTGAAGCACATGATGCTCTATTTATTGTAGAAAGTGACTTTATTTGCTTTCTAGAATTGTTTATAACAGATGGTATAAGAGGTAATAAACAGAAAAATCTATGCTTGTAAAGAATACAAAAGTTAATTTTACCTACTATAATATGACTGTCTGAAACTTATTTTCTCTCTGAGAAATAAATGTTCTAATGGGCAGCAGTCGCTGTGCTGTGTTTGGTGTAATCAGTGGGGGCCTGCCCCTCTTTTTAATTCCTAAGCCCACTCCCTCCTCCAAAAGGCAGGGACCGTTGGAGATGGGGTTGTCCAGCTTTTGCAGGCTCTTAGGTGGTGTGGGTGTGGATACTGTCTATCTCTTGGACCCCGGAGAAAGGCATGTGGATTGGTTCTGACATTGTTTTCCTCCCAAATAGCACCTTCCCTTCTGGAAGCTGTGGAAAGTCCCGTTTACCTCCCCTTGTCAGCCTCTCTGTGGCCATGCTCCTCAGGGGCATCTGTTCTGCATTCAGGTAGAGAGGAGAAAGTGGGAGAGATGGCGTTTTGGACATCTCTGGCACCTGTTTACCATGTTTGCTGAATTCAAGACTCAAGGATGCTCATGCCCCCTTTCTGTTCTTGCTGTTCTCATTCTGTAGGTGGACACACAGAGAGGTTACAGGAGCCGAGCTCCTTTGTGAGCTGGAAGGCATCCTTGAGCTTGCCTGGTCTTCATTTTACAGATGAGGAAGCATACCTAGGGAGGCTAAAAGACTTGTCCAAGGTCAGCCAGCTAATCAATGACCGCAGAATCCTAGGGCAAGGATCTGGCCAAGGCTTTCCTCGGATGCCCTACAGCATTTTAAGGCTGTGGTGGCCTGTTCTGTACCATGCTCCCCTCTCAGTGACTAGGGCTCCCAGCATTTCCAGAAAGGGACATCTGGGCTTGGAACAGAGGGAGGAGTTCCTAGGGACAAAGCCAGTTCACAGGCAGGTGGGACTTGGGCCTGGAGCTTAAGAGAAAGGTAGGAGTGGATGACAGAATGTGGGGGCACTGGAGGTGACCACTGATGCCGACCAGGGCAATTAGGAGGATGGCCAAGGAGACAGAGAAGGGTGAAGGATGAACCTGAGCAAAGCTTCCTACATTAGGAGGCTGGGAGTGGGGGAAGAGGGACTGGAGACAGCATCATCAGAGGCGGCTGTTCACCAGGAAGGGCCTCTCAGAGCGTAAACCGTATGGATCCTCTGGGCCCACCAGCTCTGTCACAGATGTGTGTGTGTGTATTCACTGTATGGTAAGGAGGTCAGAGGTGCTCAGCATCACAAAGGAAGAGCAGTGCTGGACCAGAACCCAGCACTTTTACCCACCACAGGCCTACACGTTCAGAACCCTCAAGGTGAGCAAGGAAAGTGTCATTAGGGATTTTACCAAAGCCATGATTAAAATCCACGGACTCAAGTCTAAAATGATGTGATATTGGAGCATATGAGGGCACTTTGACTAGGCATAGAGAGTCCCGTTTTCCCACCAAGTTAAAAAATCTCATTAAAAGCATTTGCCAACAACCCTGATCAGCCTGGCTACCTCCATTAATGTATTAGTTGCCATGAACACATGGGTGTGAATTTGCTTCTCATATCGGTTCTCCTGACCTGGCTAGGCTCTGCGCTTTGACTTGGAGAGAAGAGGAGGGCAGTGGTGAGACTACCAGAGGGCTGGGGGATGTGTGTACTGAGGGGGATGGAGCGTGGGGGCCTTGTCTACCCTAGGGGTCTGCAGCACCTCCCTCGGTATCTGTAGGGCAGTAAGTGTGCACATTTCTGGCCCTGCTGGCTGCTGCCACTCTGGCCTTTACCAGAACTGGGGCAGGGGAAGGAGATCTTTAGAAGAGGAAAATGGTTTCTCCAAAAGATGGGGCAGAAATTT